CAACCAACACCCAACCAAATTGAATCTCAAACATTTGATTACATCCCCTGAGAATCGCATCAATAGGTCGGTGACAACAGTAATCCATGTTGAAAGAATAAATTAAATGCTTACTTAAATTTAATGAAGTTTATAATTTAATTTTTTTATATCTTCATATGCATTTGTAATTTATACAAGATGTTCTATATCAAATTGACTGATTCTACTCGTAGAATTTTATGAAATTATTTCAATCTAATTTCTGGGAATGCTAAATTTGAGTTATACTTTAAAATTGTCAAAATTTTCTCCAACTTTCACAAAATTGGGTGTTACATGATGGATGGATTAATTGGAGACAATTTGGGAAACTCCTTGATCAGTTTTTATTCTCTTCTTATTTGTGTTTATTTCAAAATTATTTCCTATCCATGCTTGGGCTAGATATATTTGTTAAGATTGTAAATTAGGAGGGATAAGTTTCCCTATATATGTAGCCTTATAAATGAAGATTGGTAATAAGAATTATGTGAGGATTCCCACCCATATTTTTTTACGGATTAAGAGAACAAATCCAGTTGAGATCAAAATCATAAAAAAGTTACGACATAGAAAAATAGTGGCTACATGCTTCGAAAAATGAGAAAAATACTTGGATGCTTCTAAAAATAGAGTGTTAAACTGTGCGTATAAATAAACTAATTTTACTAATATGGAAAAAAAATCCTTTTTGCAAAACACAAAGTAAATTGTGTGTATGTTTAACAAGACAATTTAAAATTGTAAGTATAAATATATAATTAACTACGAAGAGAATGACTAATCTAGGGATCATATAAAAAGGGGGTTCATCAAATCTAACCGTCCACTTCAAAGAAGTCTATGAGAGGTAGCTTCCATCACAGTAGTTTGATGATTCGAGATTGTCTTATTTCCTTATACATATTACTATTAGTACTGATTCTCATATCGTAGTGGAGATTAAAGAGAAGATAATCAATCGTCCCCCTAAGTCCACCAACAAATTTAAACTATTAATATGATGTTTGGTGATTAATATTGGGAAGTAAAATATATTTAACATTGGATCAAAATTCTAATTATAATAGGTCAAGGTTTGAATTTTGAAGTTAATTTGTACAAGTTTTTTTTTAAATTATGGATTTGGAAAATAGTTAGTTGCAATTTTTTTTAAAATTTGAATATATTTAATTTTCCATTTTTAGAAAAAAAATCTCTTTATGGAGTTTGTTTAGTAATGGATGATTTTATTCTCTATTAATAAAAGATACAAGTGCTTCCCTTTCAACATATGATCTTTTACCATAAGGGTGAGATCCCTCTGTGCCTATCAAAGCTTTCCCACTACTTATGATTAACACTGCAGGGGTAAAATAAATGATAACACATTTTAGCCACATTTTGTGTCATAAATTTTAAGCAGTCACTTTTCCCCGATAAATTTGCCAAAAATTTTCCAAATATCGTCTTTAAAATGATTAGAAATAATCCCCAATAAGCCTCCAGCATAAAGGAAGACTAATCAGTGTTGTTAGCTAAATAGGAAACCAATAACATGCTGCAGTGAGGGAATCTATGAATGAATTGATTTCTTGTCAAAAATGAGTGAAGACAGCCAAAAAATAGGGAAAAATAAAATCCTCTTTCAAGCATAAAATATATGCTTTATAAGAAAGAAAGCATATGTTTGATGAAGATTAGAATAATTTTCATTTCTAATTTACAGACATGACGCAAGCAAACATTCTATCATTCACAAATAGAATAATTACGTCGCCTCGCTTCATATGAAAATCGCTTTGGATTGAAAATTGACAAAAAAATGCATAAAAATAGATGTGTGCATACATACAACGACATATACAATAAGTACATACACATAGGATTATGTAAAGGATGTGTAAGATGTAATCATACATATATATACATAAAGAGAGAGAGAGAAAGAGAGAAGTTCAAAGTTCAAAATTTCAAACCTCTGTGAGCCTGGGGGAATATTCGATATTGAGAGTTTGTCAAGGTCACTAAATGTTAGTTCTTTACGATGCTCCAAATATCGGCCAGTCATATTAACTGGCACCAAGACAGCAAATGCAAGAACAGAAAGAGGAACAAATATCTTCAGTCTGCATTATAAATCAAAACATGGTTGTAAGTTCTAAGATATGTAAATGTTTAACCCTGGAAATGTATATAAAAGTTGAAAAAGAAAAAAAAAAGCCATTGCATTGCTACTTCGTATTATGAATCCAGAATAGGTTGACAATTTTAGAAAAGTAAAGTTCGAACCTGGAAATATGAATGTAAAAGGAGAAAAATTAGAAAAGGACAGGGTGATAATGGGAAAAATATTACATCAGGACTTCTAACGTAGAGCTACATTCGGATTGGAATATTTGGCTATTTTACGGGAATATTCCATCCGCGTTATTTGTAAAAATGATGTGTTATTCGAGTATTATATGGTGTTATTAGTTTATTTTGCGGTGTTATTAGAATATTTCATCACGTTACTTGATTTGGGGCTGAAGTGTTATTGGAATATTCCCCCGCATTACTTGATTTGGGGATGTGTTATTCCAATAACATAGTGGAAATTGAAATAACACAGGAAATATGTCAAATAACACAGCCCCAAATCAAGTAATGCAGGGGAATATTCTAATAACACCGCAAAATAATCGAATAATACCATATAATAATCGAATAACACATCATTTTTACAAATAACAAGAATGGAATATTCCCGTAACACAGCCGAATATTCCAATTTGAACGTAGCTCTACGTTAGGAGTCCTGATGTAATATTTTTCCGTGATAATGCTGGTCGGTCAGATTTCATAATTAAATAAGAAATTTTTTTTATGATAAGCCTTTAAGCATGAGCTTAATTTTGAGAACAACCCAACAACTTATCTCAGATAAATTCATAGTGATATATTGCAGGTATTAAGTGTTGAGCAGTAGAAAAGGTGGATATAAATATGATCACTTGGTATCTACATTTGGTTAAGAAACCATGAAGATATAAAACTGCAAATGAGGATACTCACCCAAGGAGATAGATTCTGATATACATAACCGAATCAAATCCAGCATGATCAATAAGCTCAAGCTCTGGCATTTTTAATGCTGCTGGCATCCAACTCAGAAATTTTATATATGTCCGGCAGTCCAAATTAACAATTTTTTTTATAGAACCTTCAGCTTTTGTTGGGCTGCTCCTTATCCCTTTGAGGTACCACTTTGGAAAATATACTCTATCATTGAATGGTTGAAGCCTTAATATAGCAAACGCAACAAAGAAGGCAAAAGCTGATAGGATATTTATAGCCGCAGCCATACAAATATCTCCAATTGTTGCCATGTGTTGCTTGGAAGACTAAATATCCTGAATGACTGTAGCATATGAAATAGTTCTGATAAAGAATGAGCACTGCCTGCACAACGGTTGCTAACATTAACTAACCAATAGAAGCTTTAGAAACAAAATCTCAGGAAGTGCTATTGCAAAACTATGATGTTACTGTGAAGCATAGTGGCCAATTTCTACAATATGAAAGAAAAATACAATAAGAGTATATTAACCAGCTTGGCTCTATAACAGGCAAGGTATCTAATTTTTTGTTAAGATTCTTCCGGTTTTTTTTTTTTTTTTTTTTTTTTGTTGAGCAACTCTAATTAGGCATGAAGAAAACCTTGAAATTGATGAAATTATAAAACTAATCAAATACGGCCCCGTACTTGCACAACATCGACTATTATAAACTGTGATTATAAGCCACGGAATCAACCTAGTCTGGCCTGGTCTTTTTCCTCTCACTAATTCACTTGTACTGCCCCTCTCATAAATCAAACTAGATCAGCCAACGCTTAACTCCGTACCACCTTCACCCGCTTCAACTATGAGAGCTATTTTTTTCCTCAGGTTCAATGTCACCTCCTTCGACATATGATTTAAGATGAGCAAGAACTAGGGCATTGCAACCCTTCTCCAAACAGCCACCAACCGTCCTCATAGCCGTCAAATCCCTTGCAGCCATGAATCTCTAGTAATTAACAACCATCACTCCCTCTCCCAAAACTCTAGCCACCAATCCTTCAATCTTCACTTACACTGCCACTAAACTCTTTGGGAAAATGACATCTCCTTCTCGTTTCTCAATGAAAAGCATCCTTATTATTTCTTCTAAGGTAAAGTGATCCCTCTTTTTCTTATTTTGTAGGCTCCAAAAGTTTTAACCCCGATCACCCTCGAGATGAAATGAGAGCATTATACAAGGATCCGGGTCAAGTTTTTAAAAGACGGTTGAAACAATAGGTAAGACATTGTTATAGATTTGCCCTCATTTGCAAGAAATTTAAGATATATGGTTTAAAATTTCTCATAGGTGCAAGCTTCTATAGTTAATTATCCCTTCTAATAACATGAGGTTACTTACAATTGATGCTAGTCATTAGAGCGTTGATTGCTACCATATAGTAGCGGCAAGTAAAGTTTAGATCATAGATTAAAGAGAACATAGATCATATGGTGGAAGAAAAGGTGGCAAAACTGATTAAAATCCCATGGTTTTGTCATCTAAGATTGTCATAATCCGTAATCAAATTTCTCAAAGAAGAAAGTAAACCCAATATGAGAGAAGGATCCATGTTGACAATCATGGGTTGCTTCACTCTAGTGACTTTATAGACCTGGAATGAATATTTGTATAAGAGGATAAACTCAAGTCGATCTTAACTATATGACAGTTTTATGCCCTATCAAGTATATTGTATAATTCACAACTCAAATAAGCTAAGTTATTGGGAATCATTCAAGCTATTACCGTAACCATAAAATAGTAGACTATTAGACCAAATCGCCTTGTCAAAGTGCTCTAATTGCAATTACTTCATTTGTGAATCTGATTAGCCACACAACACAAGCAAAAGACTTGGGTCATATCTTTATTGACGTGAGATTATTGAGTATGAACATAACAGTATACTTTTTATGGCATTCATTCTTAGTGAGCTTTAATTAATCACACCATCAATAAAATATTGCAAAAGTTAAATAAATTTTCTTATTATCTTTAGTGACAAATTTTATTTAAATATTTTTTTAATTTTTATAATTTGAAACTTAATTTGATGAATAAACTCCTCTAATTGATATTTGCATTCAACACGGCATCATCAAGAAGTTTAATGAACATTTGAAGTATTGATATTTGCATTCAACACAACATCATCAAGAAGTTTAAAGAACATTTGAAGTACATATATTTTTTATTGATATAAGAAATATCACTATCTTTATAAGCATTAGTCTTATAGACTCTTATCCTTATGAGAAAGAGGATTAAACTGATCTAGTGGTGACTCTGCTTTATCAACTCTGATTTTAGTTAAAATGAGGATCAAACTGGTTATATGGGAGCTCGGTTTGTAAACTTCATGCCTTATAAGATGGAGGATTGGACTAGTCAAGGTGGGGGCCTAGTTTTTTCAACTCCAGCCCTAATTAGGAGGAGAATTAGACTAGTTAAGGTATGACCTACAAACATATCTCATAGATAGAGCGGTCCGCTCAAGAGCGTGAAATAAATTTTGATTTTAGTCATTTTAAAAAAGAGATTCTATAAAATTTAAATGTTTGTACGTTTAACAAAGCAGAAGCGATTCTAAAATTATATTTTTAACTCACACAACATTTTTAAACTAAATATTTGAACATTTTGTGCATCGATCGAAGCACATGCAGTTTGTTTTTTAGTTTGCATGTTGTTGACCTCATTTTTGGTCAACTCAATTCTATTTGGCCCTTAACCTCTCCTTTAAAGGAATAAGTCACCTTTTTAGTGCCCCTAGATGGCTAGTTGGTCTTGCTCTGGCTAGCTTAGCCCTTTTCTTGATTCCTAGCTGAGCTTCGTTGGATCCCAACTCACTCAGTGCAATTGGGAATCAAGAGATAAGTCTACTTTAAAACTTGATAAGCCTAAGCTAAGGTTGTATGTGATTTGGCTCAAAGCATGGGTGATTTGGTAGGGTTGCTTGGCTGAAATTTAAACATAAAATTAAAATTAAAATTAAAGTCAAATCAAATATGAAAAACTTAATTGGAACTAAATCAAGCACAAAAGCCAATTAAATCTATGAATAATTTAATCTAAAACCAAACTTAATCTAAACTTCAAATAATTTTACCAGAAATTAAACTTAATTTAACCTAGAACCAAATCTTAATCAAATATAAATAAACTTAGAATTAACACTAAATTAATCTCAACCCGGTTTAGCCTTAATTCCATAACTAAACTTAATTGAAACTTGATTTAAACTTAAGCAAAATCCAATTCAACCTTAAATCTAATTATAAACTTAACTCAAACTTAAAGGAGAAATCAAGCCTAAACCTAAAACTAAAACTAACTCAAACAGAAACTTAAATTGACCGAGCTTAAATAAAACCTGAAGTCTAACTTAAACTTTTGCATTACAAATTGAATTAATTATAAATTTAAACCTAAACATAACCTAGCCTAAAGTATTCCAAATTAACAAATCAAATTGAAAACTTAACATGAACAAACCGAAGCAAAATTAACTCAGCCAAAAATCTAATCAAACTTAAATTTAACCACTAAACTTAATGAAATTTTGACTAAACCCAAACAAAAAATGAAACTAAATGCAACTTAATCCTACACTAATCTGAGCTAAAATATAGATAATAACCAAATCCAACTGAAAATATATGAACCTAATCAGCCAACACCACACTTAATAGAGACTCGAAGTCAAACCAAATAGCCATATTCTCAATGCTTTGGCTGTAGATCTTTTTCAGCCACTTGGTATGGTTTAAGCCGAATGTAAAGCTCGAGCACCTCCATGGAAGCTAGCTTGCGGGGCATTGGCTGCCCAATTGGCTAATTCATCTTCCCATCATCCAATTAGGTGGAACCAGATTGCGCTTGGCAATCCTACGATTATCCCTGAATTGGTCTAGCTCACTAGGTTGACTCAGCAAAGCTAATCGAGTTCAAGACCACCCAGAGCGCCAAAACCAAATCCCCCATTAGAAAAACTGGTCAAACCCTAAGCCATTGCTCAATTGATCTCAGCATATTATCTCCAATGAGGGTTGAGTCTGGCTAAACTTAAAATGTTTTAAGTGGTTTCTAGAATTAAAATGAAATTAATTGCTTGAGAACTTAAAGCATTCATAAAGCCTAAAATTATACACCAAATGACTTGAGAAACCTTCTGGAATGGTTGGGCACCATCTCCAACTTCTCTATAAATTTTGATTAATTTTTTAATTAAAATTAATTTTTAATGAATTAAACCAACTAAATCACTTAGAAAAATATTAAAAATTCAAACTAAATAAAAAATAATCTCAACTTTTCATAATGCCTCTGTCTAATGATCCCTCACCTTGAGATAATTTCATAAAATTTAGAGTTAATTTAATATACAAACTCGATGTATTTTATTAAAGGAAATTCATACAATTAAAAATTTAGAAAAACCATTGTTTAAAATATTAACATAAAATCAACTAAACTCGAAATCAGAATTAATCAACATGATCAAAAAATTTTGAAATCTATTCCACATAACCTTTAGATCATGAAAAAAATTATAAAATTAAAATATTTTCTGAAATTTTAAATTTTAATAATTCAATTAAAGCTAAATTAAACTATAACTTATCCAAATGAATCCATTTTGACATGAAATTTTCACAAGATAATTAGGACCTCATTTCAAACTATATTGTAATTTTCATAATATTTAAATTTAATTTAAATTTTAATTAATTAATATAATTAAAATAATCATTAAATAGTAGACAATTCAATATAAATAAGAAAAATCACAAATTTTAAAAGATTGATTTTTTGGCTTCATTTGACTTTAGAGGGCAATTTCATAAAGATTTGATATGCTTGTGATGAAATTTTGAATTTTCATTCCAAAAATATGATTAAAACCATAAACTATCCTTAAATTAATTAGAATACCCTAAGACTTAACCTTGGACACTAATACCGTCGTGGAGACCTTACGGAATAAAACACTAAATGAAATATAAATAAACACTAATCAACTTAATCTAAAATAAATAATTAACTCAACTAAAATAGTTAATTATAAATCAAACCTCAATTTCAACTTAACTATGAGACCAAGACTTCTAAATCATAACACCCAACCTCAAAGCTCAACTATAATACTCATAAACTTTAATTTAAATAATAATTCAATATTAAATATATTTTTAATTTAATAATAATTATTATAGTAGTTTTAATTTTTTCTAAGGAGATGGATGCTTTAAATTTAAACACTTGCCACCCCTTAATTTTTAATTCCGTAGCCCCTCTCTTTAAATTCTGACTCTGCCACTGTAAACACGCATCCATATTTCTTGCAGGACACAAGCTGACTTGACATAAACAACAAGTAGGTTATAAGATCATAATCCAAGTAATTCTATGATTAACTTTCCATGGAACCTTCAAAAGTTTCATTTTGCATGCTCCTTGTCACTTATACAATTAATCTCTACATTTATGCCGTCAGTATCATTTACTAAACTGCGTCTATGGTGCAGTCATGACCTCCATACTCTTTCGCTAAATGGCACTGCCTCTCCTCAAATGAAGAGAACAGAAGTTCAAACCTTATCTTGATCGCAAAGTCCTCATACCTAAGATATATAGCATTCCCGAGATATGATAAGAAAATCTCGGAGAATGATTACTAACATCCCAATTTCCAAGCAACCATTTCTTGTAAATGTAATAAATGATAGCTCT